CAGGAGTTAAGTACTTTGCATGCTTCATTGTGAGCTTGGAAAAAATAGAGGAAAAAATTCTAAAATGCTTGTGTCTGCTCGTAGGTAAAGTAAAGCAGACAAAGTGGCTATTTAAAATTTATAGGCACTGGGGACACCTGGCTGGCTCAGTCAGAAGAGCATGTGACTCTTGATCTCTGGGTCTTGAGTTCGAGCCCCATGTTGGATGTAGAGATTACTTAACAATAAGTAAATAAATAAACTTAAAAAAAAAAAGGCCTGGCTATAAAATTTACAGGCACCAATTAATAGGTTGACAGTATAAAACAGAAAAATGCTCTTTTGTGATCATTCACATCTGTAAATATACGGCTAGCCTGTCTGTTGATACCCAGCTGGTATTGAGTCCTTAGTAATATGATCAACAATAACCCTGAAGTACAGATGAGGTAGATATGATTATTGTTCTGTTTGCAAAATTTGGCTACCAATATCTAATTCATTGTGGGGAAGAAGATAACCCTTTCTAGAAAGCACAAAATATACAATGTCCAGTAATAAATTAATACTGAGTCATGATCATAACTGAAAGTGAAATCTTCATTATTTGATCCAAAATGTTTTTTATATATTAGATTTTATTTATTTATCCATCAGAGAGAGAGCACGCAAGCACAAGCATGGGGAGTGGCAGGCAGAGGGAGAAGCGGTTGAGCAGGGAGCCCGATGCGGAACTCGATCCCAGGACCCTGAGATCATGACCTGAGCTGAAGGCAGATGCTAAGACTGAGTCACACAGGAGTCTCTATTTGATCCAAATTATTTAAATTGTTTAAAAGAGATATTCAGAGAGGTAAATTATTCTTGTCAAATTCTTGTTTTTCACTATTTTCAAAATAATTTCCACATTTAGGTGGTTGAAGGATAGAGCCAGAAAAAGTATTACTTAGTTACAGTATAGCACAGTAGAATAATTCACAGCTTAAAAATGCATATGATGAAAGCAGAAAACATCATTTTTATCATCATAAAGCCCATGAATATATAAATATCAGCCTCTTTGTTTAGAGATAAAATTTAAAAGCAAGACAATAAAATCAATTATATGCAACGATTCTTATTGCCTTGGGTATCATTGCTGGTGTCTGTTTGTATTGTAGAAGGAATATCAGCTTCTATTCTATGTCTTAGCTTGTTTTCAGAAAAGGTTAGGTCCAAAATACTGTCTTTTAAGTGAGAACTGGAGTTGAAATAGCCCATTTCCTACGTATTCTTTATCACCTGACCTTGCAAATTGTCTTCATTGACTCCGAATAAGGTTCTAAAAAGTTGAGTGCTTACCTTATGATCAGGGTTTTGTTAGGTTCAGAGCAACTGTGAAATTTTACAAATTACCATTTTGACTCTAAAGTCAGTAGGGGCAACAAGCTGTTCTAACATAGTCTGATGTGGAGAGGGGTTGCAAAAATCTCTCCTCTCCCCACTCTTGATTTGCATGTAAGCTCTACTATGCCATCAGGGTCAGGACCTGGTTCCAGTATTATTAACGATCATTAATTATTAATAAACCTAATATGAGGCAGACACTGTGTTGGCCCCCCGGGGTATAAAATGGAGAGTAAGGAGGGTATGTTTCCTGTCTTCACTGTATTTGTAGACTGCTGGGGGAGAGTGGTAAGAAGCTATTACAACTAAGTGTGACAACTGCCATAGACAACAGTGACCTCTTTAACTTTGAGTAACTTCTAGAATTCCAGTCTTTCAAACTGTAGGTTGCTACCCATTAGTGAATCTTAAAAGTGCATTTTTGAGTAATTTTTAAAAAGTAATTAAAAAATCAATGCACAAAAGCAGAGAGAATGATACAGCGAGCCCTGTACCCCCATACCCCAGGTTTAAGAATGAATAAGATTTTCTTTTTTTTTTTTTTAAGATTTTATTTATTTATTTGAGAGAGAAAGAATGAGACAGAGAGAGAGCATGAGAGGGGGGAGGGTCAGAGGGAGAAGCAGGCTCCCTGCCGAGCAGGGAGCCCGATGCGGGACTCGGTCCCGGGACTCCAGGATCATGACCTGAGCCGAAGGCAGTCGCTTAACCAACTGAGCCACCCAGGCACCCAAGAATGAATAAGATTTTCATTTTAAAAATGAAAATGGAAAGGGTGCCTGGATGGCTCAGTCGGTAAGGCATGTGACTCTTAATGTCAGGATCATGAGGTTCAAGCCCCATGTTGGGCGTGGAGCCTACTTAAAAAAAATTAAAAAGGAAAAAGAATAGGAAAATGGGATAGTTAAAAGAGTAAAATAGACCAGACTAGACTAGGATGGGCTACAAAATACAAGAGTGCATTACACTATGAATATTGCACATAGTAAGAGAAAGCATTGTTCCATAAAACTTGTGTGTATTTACTGAATTTAAGATATTAAAAAATGTATAGGACTCTGTCAAAATTGAAAGCCACAGTATCCATTTGTATTCCTACTGTGAATACAATGCTCTGTAAGAAGGGCTCTGCATAAATGTTTGGTGATGACAATAGCAATAGAAACGTGAGGAGCTAGCAAGAAGAAAATTACATATACACGAAGTCAACTTTTTAAAACAGGGAGCTGGCTTACACGGTAGTATTTTCATGCTAATACCTCTATTACTCAACTAATGTTGCCTAAGAACCTACTCTGTTTCAGGCGATATGCTAAGTGCGTGGGATGTAGAAATAATTAAAACACAGCCCTTCTTTCTCAGAACTTGCTATTGTTTGGAGACACAGCTGGGGAGAATAGTCTCTCCTCCATGTAAAAGAATCAACACTTGAAAATGCTCATCTCATTATAATAACTTAAACACACACACAAGCACATGCCTGTATAGCTGTATTTAATTGTTTTGTTTTATACTAATGAGATTATACCATATATATGAATCAACAGATTGTTTTTCATTAAATAATGTATCAGAAATACCTTTAAAAATAAGTACACATAGGGACTTCTGGGTGGCTCAGTCGTTAAGCGTCTGCCTTCAGCTCAGGTCATGATCTCAGGGTCCTGGGATTGAGCCCCACGTCGGGCTCCCTGCTCAGCGGGGAGCCTGCTTCTCCCTCTGTCTGCCACTCCCCCTGCTTGTGCTCTCTCTCTCTGACAAATAAATAAAATCTTAAAAAAAAAAAATAAGTACACACAGTGTTATCTCATTCTTTTTAATGGTTATATAAGTGTGAATATCATAATTTACTCATTTCTCACTAAACAGGTTGTCCTAAATGTCTGACCTATGACAAACTTGTATCTTTATACACCCTTGCTGGCTGTTCTATAGGAAAGATTCTTCAAAATGGGATTTCTAGATGTTTGGTCTTGTCTTGTAATGCTGTCAAAATTTTTTGCCTTCCAAAAAGTTGCTCATTTACATAACTTACCCACCATTGAATAACTATTTCCCCATACTTTCATCAACACTATATATTATTAGTCCTATATGTTATTAAACTTGTAATCTCATGGTCACAGATCTCTCTGTTTTTAAATTTTGCATTTCCTAAACTACTAGTGAGATTGTCCACCTTTTTATAAATTTATTGGCTATTTTTTTTTTTGAAGTGAAGTGAAAGTTTATTAAGTGAAGGTAAGAACAGAAAGAAAAAAAGCTCTCTCAAGTGAGAGGGGTCCTGAATGGGTTGCTGTATTGACTATTATTCTGTGAGTGTCCTTTGTATATCCTTGCCCATTTTTCTATCAGGTGTTTCATTACCAATTTTTAAGAGCTCTTAGCTTTGGGGGATACTAACCTACTGTATATTGCAAATGGTTTTCTCTGTCATTTTTATTCTAATTTTGTTCATGCTGGTTTTGTAGAACTGAAGTTTCCATGTTTATGTAATCACATCTGTCACTTCTTTCTATGTGGGTTCTCATTTTTATATTTTGCTTCAGATGCACCTCTCCATTCTAAAATTATACAAATTACCTCCCATGTTTTCATCTAGTGCTTTTATGGAGTAAAAAAATGTTTCTTTCTTTAACCTAGCTGGAATGAATTTTTGTATGTAGAGGGAGGTAAGCGCTACCTCCCCCATTCTAGCACTGACCAATGGGTAGACAGTTTTCTTGATGCAATTTGTTTAAAATTTAGAAGATAACTCTGAAAGGCAGGATCAGCCCCACATGAACCATACAGACTGAAAGTAATTATTACTATTGAATTAGAATATATGCTGCACAAAGAAAGCTCTGATGTTATCGGTGCTATCATCCTAGACACAGTTATAAGGAAGTCTACAAGTACATTATTAGGAACTCTCCAAAAAGTGGCATTTTTGGTAAACAATTTTGTATTAATATGCTTTTTTGTACATGGTTCTCTTAATGTGATACCTGGGTAAAAATATACATATTTTATAAACAGGTGGAAATAGTAAAAAAAAAAAGGGGGGGGGTAAGAGGTTGAATGGTATGGAAGCTACCACTCTGGGCTGGCTAGCCCAACAATCATTGCCAATCCCCTTTCCCTTGCTTGCCCACACAACACCTGGAAAAGTTGACATGCTTGATTTCCCAGCCTCCTTCTCAACCACAGTGGCCATGTGACACAGTTCCAGCCAATGGATAGATAAGTGCAAGTCTTCTATCAGATATGTCTGGCCTCACTCTTTTCCCCCTTTTCCTTTTCTGAACTCAAACGCCCCAGACAACCTGTGTCTAAGAGATAACTAGCCACCCTGCTAAGTGGAATGGAAACAGAAAAAGCCTGAGTCTTTGATGACACTGGAAACCCCTACCCCCATCCTGACCTGCCTGGAGATTTTTTATTATGCAAAATAATTAAATATCATAATTCCTAAGTCACTCTTAGACAGGTTTCTTGAAGCTGAAAGTATGTTTAATTGGTACAAATGATGTGAACCCTATTTTCTGGGAACAGTGAAACAAAACATTTTAATATTTTTTACTAATGCATTCATGATGTTAGCATAAATTATTTCTAGAGATTACTTTTTATAGATAAAGACAAAGAAACAATTTAAAATGATAGAATTTATTTTAATATATTGATATATATGTATGCACATATACTATTTTAAAAATAAGCATGTAAACTATAATCATTATAAAACATAAATCAGCCTTAATTTATTATTATCAGAATAAAAGAGCATGTATAGACCTCAGTCTAACATTGTCGCATTTGCCTTTTAAAGTTAGAATACATAAAAGATTTTAGCGCATTGTATTTTATCTTATTTCAGTTTTCACATTATCATCATTAGGTATAAATACCCTTAGGAATGTGCCAACTTATAACTTACATTCAAATAACCAAAGTCTCTTAACAGTTATTAAAGTACCATTAAGTCACCTAAAATGAGTAATCTAAAAAAATACCAGCCTAAATTAAAACCCTGAGGAATTAAAATCTTTTTTACACAATAGTTTTGGTTAAGTGCAATTCCATGTTTGACTACTTTATTTAAGGTCATACTTGGTAAGGCATAGTAAAAATAAAATCTACATAAGTTACAATTTAAATCTATATTTCATTTCTTGCTACAAAGTTGTTTTGTTTCCCCAAACAAGTAGTTTTTGCATGTCATTCTGGACCTCTTCACCACCTGCTGGCGTATCTGCTTTATATACAGTAGTTAAGATTTGTGCACTAAGCTGAGCTGCCTTTATATGGTGGTTCAGACAAAATGCACCTGAAGAGCTACATGCTTGAGAGTTCATGTCCATGCTCAACCATGGCCTGCACAAACTGCTTGAAGACTCGATCCATGTAAGTGGACTGCCTTGGCCAGATTCCCTCCAGAAAACCAATATGGCCTCCATAAGAAGTAAGGACCAAAGCAACATTAGGGTTTTGCCTGGCAGTTGCAACTGGAATAGCTTGGGGGGGAAAAAGATGAGGGAACAGGGGAAGTAAGAGAAGGAAAGGAGAAAGAAAAATACATAATTATTACCGGTTTCTATTAGGAAAAGTACATGCTTTTATTATTTCCAATCATTATAAACTGAAACACCATTACATAAATAAATATTTGTAATAAGTATGGCTAATGGAATAAGTCTAATTCATATCAACCATTTATATTCAGTTATGTACTGAACCACCATTTTTGGAAGAATCAATCCAAGTGTTTACTCATAACATAAAAGTATAAAAAGGCCCAGTCTTGTTTTGAGAAAATAAAGTAAGGTAATTCAAGGAATGGTGAATACTTATATTATGCTATAAGATTCCCACTTACGTATTACACCAGGCAAACAACAACAACAACAACTAATCTTATCACCTTTGTGAGAATTATAAATTCATTATGTATGACTTTGGTTAATTTTTTTATTTTTTTAATTTTTTTAATTAATTAATTAATTTTTTTTAAGATTTTATTTATTTGCGAGAGAGAGAATGAGAGACAGAGAACACGAGAGGGAGGAGGGTCAGAGGGAGAAGCAGACCCCCCGCTGAGCAGGGACTCGATCCCGGGACTTCAGGATCATGACCCGAGCCGAAGGCAGTCGCTTAACCAACTGAGCCACCCAGGCGCCCCTGGTTAATTTTTTTAAAGATATTTATTTATTTGTCAGAGAGAGAGAGAGCACAAGCAGGGGGAGCAGCAGAGGGAGAGGGAGAAGCAGGATCCTCACTGAGCAAGGAGCCCAATGTGGGACTCGATCCCAGGACCCTGAGATCATGACCTGAGCCGAAGGCAGACACTTAACAACTGAGCCACCCAGGCGTCCCTGACTTTGGTTAATTTTATATGATGTTAGATTCCTGAGGGGCCAATTGTTGGCCATATTAAGGACTCAAAATTATACAATAATTTATATAGTAACAACATATATAGATAGCAAAAAAGAGTGGAATGAAATACTCCCAAGTGGTAACAGTGTTTATATTTGGGTGGTTAAACACTGGTGATTATTTTTTCTTTTTCTTCCTTGTCTGACTTTTTTTTTTTTCTGAGTTTGTGATCTGAAAATTTTTTTTAAAGATTTTTATTTATTTATTTGACAGAGAGAGCGAGAGAGAGCACAAGTAGGGGGAGTGGCAGAGAGAGAGGGAGAAGCAGACTCCCCGCTGAGCAGGGAGCCCAACTCCGGGCTCAATCCCAGGACCCTGAGATCATGACCTGAGCTGAAGGCAGATGCTTAACCCACTGAGCCACCCAGGTGCTCCTTCATTGTCTGACTTTCTATTTACAGTCAGGAGAAAGAAAAATTTTATTTTGAAAATACAGCTGCTATATTTAAATAACTCTGTAGTAATGACAATCTTTTCCTATACTCTACAAAACCTATCCTGAGTAAAAACTTCACTCTAAAGGATGTGAACTGAAGTTCTTTTATTTTTATTTTTTCTCCCACGCTTAGAGTTTACAGTGAAAATGTTTTGATTTAAGAGCTATAATGAATCACAACCTGGCATGAGAAGTGTTTTAATTTCAGATACTGCTAAATGTTATCTCCTTAATTAAGGTAATGTGGTTGTTGCAGTATTTAGACTTTCATATCTTGGACGGAGTCCTAAGGGTAAATGAGCTAATTAAAGGTAACATCTCCCTACCACATACCCTTCTAATGAAGGAAAGGAAGCTGACACACTCTAGAACTGAGACCCTTATAAGATAGAGATGCTGCTGTGCCCAAATTGCCTGTTCAGATGATGCGCTCAGTTTGACCCCTTCACAACGCTCCCTGAAGAATAAACTTCAAGATCCTAAATTAAAGCCCAGCAAGCCAAGCCCCTTACTTGGGTCCTGAACTCACATCCTTAGCCAGCCCCACCTAAAGAAGAGTATCTTCTATCTTGGGATGAGGTGTGAGAGCTCAAAGGGAGGGGCAGGTGAAATGACATTTTATTTTTGCTTTTCCTTTTTCACCTTACATTAAAGGCTTTGATTTAGAATGCTTCATTTGCCTCTGATGGAATTATTATGAGTCCCAATTTCACACTCTGGATACACTCAGGAATTTCTAACACTGATAGTTACAGTCCTATCAGAAGAACAAAAGCTGTGCCACGCTGAGTGACTTGAAAGGGGCTGGCTGCCTATGCTCTCAGAGTGCAGACAACTGCCTACTATTTCAATGTGGTAAGACTGTCTTAAGGACTTGGGAAAGAATAGGGAACAATGAATTTAAATTTCAACCAAGTGGGGCAGGTTAACATGCTGAGAAATTTTGGTTGGTAAAAGAAGGGTCTGTGAAATATTAAAAAAGGAGAAGTACTACACTTCCTTAATCCAATGAAAGTAGGCTAAATAACCACCATGTAATTCAACTAATACTAAAGTTCAGTTTCATTTCTTGCTTTGTGGTGAAAGGCCAAAAAGTTCCAGTCATCTAAAGTTACTTGTGATTAATCATAAATCACACAATAAAATGATAGGTGATTTTTATTTTTATATACTTTGGGGACTTTCTGAAATGTTGACAATACCTATATGTTGTGTTTGTAGTCAGATTACCTTTTTTTTTTTTAATGAAGTACTCTGGGAAAATGTTTTTAAACTATTTGGGGGGGGGATGAGAAAAAAATTATAAAAAGCTTTTGGAGGCGCCTGGGTGGCTCAGTTGAGGCTGAGTGTCTGCCTTCAGCTCAGGTCGTGATCTCAGGGTCCTGAGATCAAGCCCTGCACTGGGGTCGGGCTCCCTACTCAGTGGGGAGCGTGCTTCTCCCTCTCCCTCTGCTGCTCCCCCTGCTTGTGCCCTTTCTGGTGCGCACTCTCTCTCAAATAAATAAATAAAATCTTAAAAAAAAAAAGCTTTGTGAAATTTCATTAGAAAAAGAATTAGAGGTCAAGTCTGCTGGTTCTTATGATGACTTCTAATCGCCTTATATTGCTTCAATGTATGAACATATGCGTATATATTTTTGCTACCAAATTCCCTATTTCTTAAATTAAGAGAGCAAGGAAGTTAATTTGGCTATAATTTTCTTTTATACAGTATCCAGGGAAAAGCGAATACTGTTTCCCTTCAAATGTGACTGAATGTGCTACACTCATTGAGATATTCAAGGACATCATGTTTATATATAAAGTCTCAAGTTCTCTTCCAGGTTAAAAGGGAGAAAAATTCCAAAGTCTTCTGCTTAAGAATCTGAAGAAGAAAAAGCAAGTGATGACAATGAACTTGTGAGGCACATAATCTGTCCAAAGAACAGTGTATCTGATTAAGAAGAAAAGGTTATAAAAAATTAGAACAAGCAAAATATTCAGAGTCATAATGCACTCGAAGCCTCTCACAATGAACTAGATAAGGGTCTGTGAAAGCATTTAAAGTGACCTCACACATTTAGATACTAAATTATTAGTATCTAGCTATTTTATTTATTGCAGTGGAAAACATTTTATATGACATTTAATTTCTCATTACTGTATTTTCTTTAAAAAAAAAAAACAAAACCAGTATTTCTAAACAGCCAATTCGGGGCGCCTGGGTGGCTCAGTCAGTTAAGCATCTGCCTTTGGCTCAGGTGATGATCCCGGGGTCCTGGGATCGAGCGCCCGCATCTGGCTCCCTGCTCGGCGGGAAGCCTGCTTCTCCCTCTCCCACTCCCCCTGCTTGTGTTCCCTCGCTGTATCTCTCTCAAATAAATAAATAAAACCTTTAAAAAAATAAAAATAGAACAGTCAATTCCTGTCAAAATGTATAGAACTATGTGAATTTTACCATGACTTGGTGAGAAAACATCATCCACAGAATTCAGACACAACACTGGAATTCCTACTGATTTCAGTCTACGATTCGGGCTGGCATCAGTATAATAATCATCAATAGTTTGGTATCCAAACATGACTGAAGTGAATCGCTTATCAAACTCTCTGATGGATTTAGCCTGAAACATAAAAACAGATGATCTCTCTTCTTGGAATCTGAAGAGGAAATCAAAATATTACATAAAGTTTCTCTCCTACCTTCATGACATGGTCCATGTCGATTTGTTTCACAAACATATGCCGGTGTCTGCAGCAAAAATAATTTCAAAGGTAAAAAATTAAGGTAAAAAAAATTAAGGTTATTGCTCTCTCCATCATACCTAAAGTACATAATAAATAACCGAACAGTCTAACACAGGGCACAAAGTGGATACTCAATGAATATTTACTTAATCAGACTCAGCAGAAGTACACTGATATTTATCCTGAAGACATTTTTGAAAAGTACTTTTATTTTTTAGAGAAAGAGTGGGGTGGAGGGGCAGAGGGAGAGAGAATCTTAAGCAGGCTCCACACCCAGCATGGAGCTTGACATGGGACTCGATCTCACATTCCTGAGATCCTGACCTGAGCCAAAATCAAGAGTTGGACGTTTAACTGACTGAGCCACCCAGGCACCCCAAGAGTACTTTTTTCTTAATTGAAGGACACTGAACTAATTTTGTAATAATAAACATAAGTATTGTTTCATAACAACACGTACCTAAACGCTGCTACTATTAAACCAATTTGGCTAAAAAGGCCTCACGTAAACCAGAAGCTTTCAACTGGATAAACCACTTGAAGACATTATTTTTAAATTGCTATGTTGAAAATTAAAATTTACATTTTATATACTTATATTTTAAATGGTGGTCATTTTTCTTTCTTTTTAAATATTTTATTTCTTTATTTTTAAGTAAGCTCTACATCCAACATGGGGCTTGAACTCACAACCCTGAGATCAGGAATCACATGCTCTACTGACTGAGCCGGCCAGGTGCCCCTAAATGGTGGTCATTTTTCTTATATAACCAGTACTTTTTTTTTTTTTTAAGATTTTATTTATTTATTTGACAGAGAGAGAGATAGCCAGAGCAGGAACACAAGCAAGGGGAGTGGGAGAGGGAGAAGCAAGCTTCCTGCCGAGCAGGGAGCCCAATGTGGGGCTCGATCCCAGGACCCTAGGATCATGACCTGAGCCGAAGGCAGCCGCTTAACCGACTGAGCCACCCAGGCGCCCCTAACCAGTACTTTAATTCCCAAATCATTTTCTTTACTGTTCTTGCTACTGGCCCCCATTTCAGTGACAATGAGTAATTAGTGATCTTTTTATTTTTATTTATATTTATTTATTTATTTATTTGAGACAGAGGGAGAGCACAGAGGGAGAGTGAGAGGGAGAAGCAGACTCCCCGCCAAGCAGAGAGCCTGATGTGGGACTCGATCCCAGGACCCCAAGATGATCTGAGCCAAAGGGAGACGCTTAACCAACTGAGCCACCCAGGCGTCCCAATTAGTGATCTTTTTAGTATTTTAAGCAATATTTTATAATCAACATCTGTAATTTAATAAATAGGCTAAGTTTAATCCAATGTTTAATGTCAGCTTTCAGGGTATCTATGGTTTTCGATAAGTCCTGTACAAATTAACTAGAATTTTTATTTAGCATTTGTATTACATTGATCAATTCACCTAAAAGCGATGGTAATAGTCATCAAAATAGAAACAGAAACACCTCTGTTCTTTGATATCACACCAACTTAAATGGTAGAAGACATACAAACAATTCCAGAAAAACTAATGCAAACATAGCATTCTGGTAACGTTAAGAACTGTGGGGGCTGAGAATATCCAAGTGAAGTGCATTCTCCTAAGCTTCTAAAACATACTATGCTTGTAAGCATATGCTTAAGAAACTATATTATTCTGCACTAAAAACACTTAATACATTGCTTACAACCTAGGAAAGAATTAGGTACTAATAGATTACCAACAGGTAGAAAATCCGGGGAAATAGCCCTCATGTTATTCAACACAGTCAATGCTAACATTTTTAGTCTTTTGGAATAATTTAGAACAGTGACAGAACAGTGATCTTCAAAGTGGGGGCACATATCCTAGGGGTTGTACCACTGAGATACAGAAAGAAAACATTACAACTTGTATTACATTTTTAGCTTATACTTAAAATATTTTACTTTTGTATATACTTATAACAAAGAATATTTGGGTATAGTAGCAAATGCATTAACATAAACATAAATATACAAATATTAGCAGTATTGTACTTTACAACTTTTTTTCTGTTGGGGAATGTAATCCAAAAGTTTGGAGACATCAGGCTTTAAAGATGACTCACTTATTAACGGAAGACTGGAGGCAAGTTGTCAAGTAGTAATTAAAAAGCAGCCAGTTGAGTGGTTTCTCCAATGACTCAGAGCAAGCAAAAGTATTCCAACCAACTGAAAAAGTTGCAGCTGCCTTCAAAGGAGTTTTTGGCCCAATTTTGCCCAGGTAATTCAAAAGCAGCATTCTAAAAGGGGGAGCAACAGGAAACTTAGTGATGAATTTGTTATCTCAAGACATCTCTTTTCTTTTAAGATTTTATTTTTTTATTTGAGATAGAGAGAGCAGGAGCAGAGGGGCAGAGGGAAAGGGAGAGACAGGATCCCCCCTGAGCAGGGAGCCTGATGCGGGACTCAATCCCAGGACCCTGAGATCATGACCTGAGCCAAAGGCAGACGCTTAACCTACTGAGCCACCCAGGTGCCCCAAGACATCTCATTTCTAACTACGGATTTTACATTAACTATGGAGAAGAAAAACATAAACCCATGTTTAAGGCCTTCATCTTGGAAAAGCATGCAAGTATTTTCATTCTTTCTTTACATTCATATAATTATTTATCTTGCAGTAGACTATATTGTGAATGGGACAAGGCATACAGTTATTACTTACATGTATATCCTTCTATGAAGAGAAATATAAGAGAAATCCCCTGTAAAAGTGGGGTTTTTCCCCTCCCTCCCTTCCTTGCCTTGCTTTTCTTTTCTTTCCTTTCCTTTTCTTTTCTTTCATTTTTAAAAATGATATTGGGGGTGGGGCGCCTGGGTGGCTCAGTCGTTATGCGTCTGCCTTCGGCTCAGGTCATGATCCCAGGGTCCTGGGATCGAGCCCTGCATCGGGCTCCCTGCTTGGCGGGAAGCCTGCTTCTCCCTCTCCTGCTCCCCCTGCTTGTGTTCCTGCTCTTGCTAACTCTCTCTCTGTCAAATCAATAAATAAAATCTTTAAAAAAAATGATATTGGGGTTTATTAAAAATATGCAAATCCTTGGGCCCCAGCTTCTAGGTGAATGTTTTAGTATTTGAGGAGTGTTTCAGGCAAACTTTCCTATAATAGGCCACAGAGTAAATATTTTGGGCCTTGCTGGCCATATAATATCTGTCATAACTACCCAACTCTATGATTGTAGTGCAAAAGTAGCTATTGATAATACATGAATGGAGATGGCTGTATTCCAACAGAACATTATATACGGATGAAATTTATTTATTTATTTATTTTTTTAAAGATTTTATTTATTTATTTATTTGAGAGAGAAAGAGAGAAACAGCATGAGAGGGGAGAGGGTCAGAGAGAGAAGCAGCCTCCCCGTTAAGCTGGGAGCCCGATGTGGGACTTGATCCCAGGACTCCGGGATCCTGACCTGAGTCGAAGGCAGTTGCTTAACCAACTGAGCCACCCAGGTGCCCTATATGGATGAAATTTAAATTTCATGTAATTTTCACATGATACAAGCTATTCTTCTTTTGATTTTTTCCAACCATTTAATTTTAATTTTTTAAAAGATTTATCTATTTGAGAGAGAGCATGAGAAAGAGAGAAAGAGAGACAGCACACAAGCTGGGGGAGAGGCAGAGGGAGAGGGAAAAGCAGACTCCCCACTGTGCAGGGAGTCCTTCGCAGGGCTTGATCCTAGGACCCTGGGACCATGACCTGAGCCTAAGGCAGATGCCTAACCTACTGAGCCACCCAGATGCCTCATTTATTTATTTTTTTACAAACTTTATTTATATAGGGAGAGAGAGAGTGTGTGCATGTGAGCCAGGGGGAGAGGCAGAGGGAGAGGGAGAGAGAATCTTAAGCAGGCTCCATTCCCAGTGCAGAGCTGACATGGGGCTCGATCTCACAACCCTGAGATCATGACCTGAGCTGAAATCGGGAGTTGGATGCTTAACTGAGCCACTCAGGCCCCTATTTTTCAACCATTTAAAAATATAAGAACCATTCTTACCTCTTGAACAAAAACAGACAGATTGCCAGATTTGGCCTGCAGGCTGTGCTATGCCAACCTTTGGCATAGATGAGAGAGCATGAAGGAATGGTTTTCAGACAGGGTTGCACATTGGAATCACCTGCGGAGCTTTCAAAATTATTATAGACATCTGGGTTTAAGTTCAGAGATTGTGAGTAATCGGTCTGAGTGGGCATCCTGGTTGCCTCTGAGCCCTTGCTCCCTAAAGTAAGTCTCTAAAGGGCTCCCTAGCATAGAGTTAGACTTTCTGAGTTGTGGCAGAGCTCCTTGCCCTCAAAGTCACTTGTTTTCTCTTCCTACTCTTTCCTGTTTTTTGTCCTTAATTATCACACATTTTCCCTTTTCTTTGGTTCTATCAATTTTCCTGATTTTAATCTAGTTCTATTTTGGTAAGAGGGACAAGAATGGGGTTTAATCTAATACTAATGTCAGAAATCTAAGTTTAACATTACCAACTAAGAGAAAGAATGAGAATTTAAATTCAGTTAGTCATTATATTTTCCATTCTTTATTTCTCCAATTGCCTAGGTTCTGAAATAGGAGAAATGGGTAAAAATTCTGTCTCCTTCTCTTTCCCAGCCCAAGTGGCTTGCAGAGTGAATGTGATGAGGTTTTAGATAAAAAATGGAAATTGTGTTTCTACAAATGACTCTTAATAATGACTGCACTCCTGGGATACAGGACTGTGGTTCACTAAGTCATTTAAAGAATGATGTTTACTCTCCTGCAAAGCATTCATTCTAGAGTCCTACTTTTGGTCGTCCTATTCTTTGGCTGGAAGTCAGAGAGTGCCAGGAAGTTGGTATAATGGGCAAATTGGAAGGGTTGGAAGGGAAGCTCTCAGGAGTAGGAAGGACCATAGTATCCACGACCAAGTACTTCTTGACTATTATTCAGGAGAAAAATAATATCAAGATGTTACTCCAAAAGAGGATGCTTTATTTTGACAGAGAAAGGACTCCATTTTTTCACCCAAAGAGAGAGCCAGAAAAAGAATCCATGAGTTAAGAGACTTAAGAGGCATATCAACCCCAATGTATGGACCTTATCTGGTTCCTGACTCAAACACAGTGTAAAACCAACCAACCAACCAACCAACCATCAAGTGGGGAAATGTGACACTGACAAAATATTTGATGAATTTTAGGAATTATTGTTAGTTTTGTTCAGGTGTGATAATGGTACTGTGTGTATGTATGTGTGTGTATATGTGTTTTAAAGAGCGACTACCTTTAGAGATACCTACTAAAATATTTATAAATGATATCTGAGATTTATTTAAGATAATCAGAGTTGGGGAGGAATGGAGGGTGATACTGATAAACAAGATTATCCATGAGTTGATAATTACTGAAGCTGTGTGAAGAGGGTTGATTATTATTGAAGCCAGGTGGTTAGTGGTTAGTATATATGGGGGATCATTATACTCTTCTCTTTTACATATACTTAGAATTTTCTATACATTCTTTAAAGCTTGTTTACCAACTCAATGGGAGACTGAAATCTGACTGGGTCTAGCATGGTGTGGATTCCTTGGCTAGACTCAGTTCTGGCTTAAATCCCCTACTTGGTCCCAGGCATCACAGGCTTGTGGATTACCCGAGTCTACAGGGGCCCTGGATATTAGGATCTTCGACAGACTATGCTTTTGTCTGTTGCATTTCCAAAAGAAAAAAAAAATGTGTCAAGCTATAAAACACATCCCCAAGTGGTAAGCCCACTCGGGAACATGTCACAGTGCTAGGCAACTAGAAAGGGTGCTTCCTTCAAACAATTTACAAGACATTATTATTCAACCAGCTGCAAGGCTAATGGTCAAGTTCTGCCTTCAGGCACTGAGGCTTCAAAGCGACATGAATAGGCATTTCCCAGGAGCTTCTGAATAGAGAATCTGGGCCTGTTTATGTAAGGTCTGGCCTTTAAAAAGTCAAGACTTTTTATGATTAAGGGAAAAAGTTCAGCCGGCACCCTGTCCTCTACAGTTCAATTATAGGGCAAAGGAAAGAGAAATACATTGAGCACAATTCAGAGATTCTGCCTGGGTTTTCTGCACTGATTCAGATTTCTTCCTTTAGTAGGTCAAGTCAGACCTTCCATGCTAATGTAAGAAATGTAGTCTTCTCTTTTTAGTTTTATGTTTATCAGAATCTAAAAAGCTATGGTTAAAGACTATTTTTCAGAATCTATCATTTGTAAAGCCTGTTCATTTTCAAGTAAATATGCTCCTAAAATGTTCTGAAAATTGAAATGGCAGATAAATCAATTACAAAATTAAGAAAAAATACCATTTTCTACCTCATGTGTTTGCTGATTTTATTTTATTTTTTTAAAGATTTTATTTATTTATTTTGACAGAGAGAGAGAGACAGCGAGAGAGGGAACACAAGCAGGGGGAGTGGGAGAGGGAGAGGAAGAAGCAGGCTTTCCACGGAGCAGGGAGCCCGATGCGGGGCTCGATCCCAGGACTCTGGGATCATGACCTGAGCCGAAGGCAGACTTTTTTTTTTTTTTTAGGATTTTATTTATTTATTTGACAGAGAGAGACACAGCGAGAGAGGGAACACAGGCAGGGGGAGAAGTAGAAGCAGGCTTCCCGCCGAGCAGGGAGCCCAATGTGAGGCTCAATCCCAGGACTCTGGGACCATGACCTGAGCCGAAGGCTGGCGCTTAACTGACTGAGCCACCCAGGCGCCCCCCGAAGGCAGATGCTTAACGACTGAGCCACCCAGGCACCCTGTTTGCTGATTTTAAAAAGTCAGTTTTGGAACAAGCATTTAGGGGATCTAAGCATATGAAATTCCAGATAATCAAAATTTTGTATTTTATTAAGTTCATAATCACTGGAACATAAAAAATATACATGATTATTAGTAGAAATGAATAAATATGGCATAGATGTTCCAACTAAGCCCCAGTGTAACTGCAAGAAGCACAAATTATAAAAATATTCATATGCTTAAAAGAGCAGCTGTAGTAAGGGTTAACAATAAAACGTCAGAGTTTCTAGGAGAGCATTCCAGGGTAGGCCCAACTGCCCAGCAACAAAACAAAACAAACAAAAACACCACCACCTGGAGAAAAAAAAATTTTTGAAGGCCTCTTCAGCCGGAGAGAGCAAGAAGTGATTATTTCTATGCCTGGAGTGATGAAAGTCAGTCTCCGAGGTCAGCTTCCAGCGTGGTGCCGGAGGACACACTTACAGGGACAGCTGGGAGTCCATCAGGGAAGCTGAAGGTCACCATGGCAGCTCCCAAGTGATGGAAATCAACGTCAACAAGCCTTCAGGCTCCCACAACCCTGAGGATCCCAAGGAGATACTTGCATCCTTTTCACCACAGAGCCATAGTTGCCAAGGCAAATAGCAACATTCGCCTGGATGAACTTCTTCCTTCATTCAACCACATGTGGTAAAATCAGATAAAAATAATCCAACATTCATTTTTAAAATGTCTTTGTAGCTTATAGTCTCCTGAAAGAAGCACTCAGTAAGGCCACTTGTCTCTCAGACATTTTAGAAAGGAAAAAAACCTTACCCTCCCATCGACACCCCTGCTGCCAGGAAAGGAGCAGAAGGGTACAGACTGTGCACGTGGTGAATAACTGTCTCCAGGTCTTCCGTGTTAGCACAACAGTAAGTCCTTGGTGTCTGTAAGGAGAGACAGGTAAAGCGCAAAATTTTAAATTATGAGGTTCATGATTTGTATAATGCAGAAATGTAAAAAGAGCAAGAAGACAAATATGAGAAAATAAACCTTTGCATATACAAGCTATCATATTCACATCTTGCAGTATATGCCATTTCAAGTCAACACTGTCCTGAGTTGGCACTAACCAAAAGACTTTGGTCATGCAAGGAAGGCTTGACAGACGGAGGGCAAGACCAACACAAATACCTTAAATGAAATAGAATACACAGTACCATATTCAAATGTGTCTCCAACCCAACAAGGACAGAGTCAATTTAGGAAGAAAAAGTGAAGAATTACACTTTTTTTTTTGAAAGCAACAAAAAAATTATGCCTGACAAAGCCGAAGTAATTCTTTATTTAAAAAAAAATAAGCAAGCAAGCAAACAAAAGAGACTTGACAAGGATGCCACAAAATTTTTAAGTTGTGGCTGGCTTCTAACTGGGGAACTGTTTTCCTTGTCCTAAGTGCTGTCCACCAAGGAGGGAGTGTGGTTTTTTGGCACTGCTTTCCCTCTAGATAAGGCAATTTCCAGTTGCATTTATTGATCACATATGTTCTTTTACAATAATATATCCACAGAGCCCCAGCTGCACTACACTGCAACAGACACTTAATATGTTAAAATATGTAAAGCTGACTATGCCTCAATCCATAACGCATTAAAACAAATGGTTTTCACGTGAACTTCATCAATAAGAGCTCTGTTTCTAGCAGGAAAGCTTCACAAATGCTTTGTTTGAGCTGCGGGAGGAGAGGGCAATCCTCTCTGTAGAATAAATGTGAGCGCGTGTACATGAATATGTGTGAGTGTGCATTTGTGAGATAAAATAACCAGAAACTGAATAACACGGAGAGGAATCTGGTTAACACTGCTCTAATAAAAACAGGGACCTGGACCATCTTGACTTTACTATTCCAATAAACCATGATCTCAAGGTCATGTTCACCCACCATTCAATCGCCAATGCGAAGCCTGAGACATCCACAGTTTTTAACGATCCTACCAATTAAACTCAAGCCTAAAACACTACCCACTGCCAATATCATCTTTTTGAGGTCTGCAAATATGAAACTCTGCAAAAGACAAATGTTAACCTGATAAGATTTACAGTGGCTAAGTTATTAAATAATTAAGTTTGTCTCTACAAAACCCTGAGGAAGTTCCCATTATTATATCTATTTTATATAGGAAACTGAATTTAGAGACGTTAAAAGACTCCTGGCACACCTTACGAGCTAATACGAGACTAAGCTGAGATACTTTTAAAAAAATCCTTTGTGATTAAGTGCATTTGAAGGGCACAAATTCAATGTAAAATCTAAATGGAATAATATCTAGCACCATGCTCATTCACAGAGACTGCACAATTTGTCACAAGAATTCAGGTGAAGAAATCCTTACATGGTATTTTTATTACATGTGAGTCTATTCACACTGCATGGCTTTAACATTTCTGAATTATTTGCGACAGTCACATGTACTCTCGTCACGCAGGCTTGAAGTGAATGCATGCACACACATGGGTACACACGAATATAAACATAGACGTCAGGGTATGAGAAAAATGGCCTGTGGAAAATGATTAAGATCAGAGAATCTTAGTGCCAGGAAGGACCTGGTTCCTTATTTACACGCGAGGAAATTGAGGTCAGCAAGGTTGAGTAATTCGCCAAAGGTCACAAAGCAGCAGAGCCTGGATCACCTGTTTGTAGTAAGCACACGACTTCTTGTAAAGCACTGGGATACCATGAGGGATTCAGTTAATAAGTCAGCATCTGGTACCCTCAGATACAGGAACTGATTTTGTCTGTAAATGTTTTTCTCCAGATGGGTTACATTAATATCAAATCTGACAATACTCCATGGATCAAAGTCGCCAGAACTCTGAAATTCAGCCAATCCAGAGCCTTTCTGGCATGGTCCTGCCTCCCGCCAGCTACCCCCTTGGCTCCTGTGATGGCGCTACCCCGTTCTCCTCCTGCTGCTGGCTTTCCACTTCCCGCCTGCTTCCCGTCATTCTCCCCACAACCCCAGTGTGAATACTCACTCCCAAAAGTCTTGTCTTAGGCCTGCCTCTGCTTCTCTGGTTAATACTTGATTCCTGAGGGTCTTACCTACCTTCCTGGCTTCATCAGACCACCGCTAGGCAACGACCAAACCAACTCTCCACCCTCTCACCTGATCTAGAGCTCCAGATCCAAACTTCCAAGTTCTAGCAGGCAGCTTCACTACTGTGTTCTGTCACTACTTCAAACTTAAAATGCCCCAAAGTAAACTCTTCTATGAACACTATAATGCTCCTCCTAACTTCCCATTTTTTAAAAAATAAATGACACCTATATTTGCCTAGTTAAAACTGTAGGTGACATTGCCTTCTCCCTTTCCCTTAATCTCATAGCCAATGAATTGCCAAGTCCTGTAGCTTCTTCCTCAGTGTCTTTTTCGGGAAACACCGGAAATCCCTTCTTTCCACTCTAGTCAAGGCCTGGTATGTTAGAGTCTCCTGGAAGAGCCCCTGAGACAGACAGGATGCGAGTGCAAGCAGTTCATTTGGAAGGTGAGACCAGGAAGCACCAGTTGGGGAATGGTGAACTGAGTCAGGGAGGGTAGGAAGTCAATAAAGACTATGGGACCAAGGCAGTTTGTGGCTATGGGTGACGGGGGACCCAATCCTCTTGAGGCACTTTGGGACACCATGTGAGTATGGCTCAAAATTATCCCAAACGAGTGGCGAGACAGCTGGGTTCCACCAGTCCCCTTCAGCCATTGGTTGAAGGCTGCTCCTGGAGGATGTTTACTTGCTGGCACTCCTGGTTGGCCCTGAGCACAGGTCCAGCAGGCTCCCGTGGCCAGAGAGGCCCCCGTCAAAGAGATGTGAGCGTTTGCAGGTGACAGTCATCAGGTACGCGTGCATGGGAATGGTAAGTGCCCCAAGGGTAAAGATGTGACAAGTCTATGGCACCGACTGTCTCTGCTACCAGGCCTTTTCACCTCTCACTCGGACGGCTGTAGTAACGACTTAACTAGTTAACTCCCAGCCTTTGCTCATAACCACCCCTACTCATATCTCCCACTCACTGGCTGATTAATCCTCCTAAAGAACATTTCTAGCTCTAATCATGACAGCGTTTTTGCTTAGAACTCTTCATTAGCTTCCCACTGCTGACTGAATTAAGGACACATTCTTCTGCCAAGTGTTCAAGGCCCTCCACAGTATGTCAAGCAACCTTTCCAGCTCTGGATTTTACCATTTCTCCATAGGAACAGAGTCACGTCAATGAGACACCACTATTGTCTTGTGTGCTGGCCTCATAATATCCTTGCTACCTGTGTGGACACTTCATCTGCCAAGTGTCCTTCACCGTCAACTCTGCCTGTTGAAATCATGCCTTGCGTAAATATCAGGTAAACGGCCAAGACTTGGCCCCTGGTCTTCATGACATCACAACCTTCCCCACTCTACCCCTAATTGTCCCAGCAAGTCTGCTCCTGGCCCACATTATCTACTACCTGTCTATCTACTACTATCTTACCTCTATCTCTGACAGTCAGTAGATACTTGTTGAATTGAACTGAAATACACAGGACTGAAAAATGAGAAGGCCTGATTAGTAACTTCTGATATGCAAAACTATGTGGTTATATCACATGACCTCTTGCTACTTAATGGTTCCAACAGGAAACATCATATGCCTTCTTTCTTCACAGGACTTGAGATCACTAAAGAAGGGTCTTCATCCAGGATACACAGCAAAGACACTAATGGGGGCCATACACTGAATTCGTAGGCCTGGCAGAAATTTTCTTCAGGTCTAAAAATATAACTAGCAGCTTTTTAGACAAAACGTTAGTTAATTCTCAGTTGCTAGGGCTACTAATGCAACCAGCAACTAATCCTATTGCAGTAATTCCTGTCTTTTTCCATGCTTCCAGAACAGAAGTAGAGTAAGCCATATCTAATGAGAAAAGGGATTAAGGGAGACCTTGCAGCATTCAGCTGTGTGGTAAAAACTCTTTTACAGTGAGACGAGGATGGGAAAGGTATTCTGGAAAAATGAAGAAAATCTAAAGGACAGATAATCTTCCAGCAGGTGTTTGGGCATAAATATTTTAAAAGTTAGAATACTTTGAAAATAATTACAAACCAAGATTGTTCAAATTGTTCAACTGCAGCTATGATCTGAGAGAAACAATAGTAATTTGTTTAATGGCTTTTAGAGGTTCGTTCAAAAAAATCACTGAAGAGAATAATGAAGTAAAATTAATTCTAATTATTCACACAGATGGGAAAAGAGTAAAGCATATATTTTATATTCATCTGTGGACTACATATAATCTATCCTTCTTAATCCACTTCCAAAAAGTAGACAAACTGAGTTCTCCCTAACCTGAAAGAGAATTTTCCTGTCCTGGTTTAGAGGTCATTTGTTTTAAAATGTAAATTTCATTTAAAAGGTGGTGTTCTTTTGTTTGTTTGTTTGTTTGTCTTCGGTCTAGAAACAAATTAAAATGCACCCTGTTAATCAGGTAGCCTGACTCTCCCTAGCTATTCTGGAAGGAGATGAATTTGCTAATCTGCTGTATAAGCCATAATCCAGGACCCTTCTCTCAGTGCTGGAGTGGTCTCACATCCAGTACTGAACTGGGCCCGCTAGGATTTTAGTTTTCCATCCAGCAATATGAAAACTGAAAAAGACACTTCCATGTTTTTTTATAAAATCATTTCAATTCCAGCTGGCCGATGAACTTACAAGTGTAGGTGGTGTGCTACCCGAGGGGCAAGTCTTTTGCTAACACCACAAGCGTCTCTGGCTCCATGAGGGGAGTTTGATAGTATTTTTGCTACAAGTAAAATACTACTAATAATAATTTCAATTTCACTTTTATTTTATTGTAATGTCTGATAATCATCAGGAGCTTAGAATATTTCATTTTACAGCCTTCCTCTCTCAAGT